GCGACCTTCGGCGTTTTACCGGCTGTAGAAATAGGTATAACCGAGTGAAAAGACATTGGTGAATGGTACAATTTTTACACCTACGACGAGTATGCTATACTGGTTGTTACTTGTACTACAGTTATTGTTTATGCAACGCAGGACATGCATAGGAAAACGTAATATTTTCATAAATCATGATGATTGGATAGGGAATGTATTGGAACGATGAATACGTCGAAAACGACTGTAAAAACTGCAAAAGCGCGGCATTTTAAATCGCACTCAACCGAGAAAAATAATGTTTAAATAACAATAATAATAAAAAAAAAAAAGCTCATGCGTTGAAATTTCGAAAATATCTAATCGTAAACGCGTATTTATCTTTGCTTTGTACAGAAATGGAGATTTTGGTATAATCGTAGAGAATAAGTAAATGAGAAAGCATAATGAAGAATAAAACTTCAATGCGCAGCAGACGTGTGTATGTAGTAGAGTTAATATTTTCGGTTGAGCTTAAATTTTTCTCGATTCCGGTTTATCGGAATGGATATTACCCGTGAGCAATGTAAAGGAACAGCGGACAAAGATAAAACCATAATAATAATAATAGTATAATAACCATTAGTCTTACGGTCGAGAAAATCGTTCGGCGGCGGCGTTCGTCCCGACGAATTCCACGGACGGCGATTATCGGCCGGCCGACCGGTTTTTCGTGCACGGTCGTGTTTTCAACGAGCAGAAGACGGAGAGGACACGCAGGCGAACGAGGTGTCCGATGCGCAACAACAATTAGCGCGGCGTGGGGCGGGACTCGGAGCTGACCGGCTGCTACCGGTGTTAGCCGCGGTGACGACAAGCAGTCTTCTCGCAACCGCAACCCGCGCGCCTCGCACACCAAATTGTAGTTGCTCGTGTACCTTATATTACATATGGTATACAAATTTGAATACGATCAGACGATGCACTCGGACTTCTCTTCCTTGATATCTTTCTATCCGTGTACACGAATACACGACTGCAACGAATCCGAACATCGTCACGATTTCGGTCTCTCGATTCGTCTCTATTGCCCAACTTATCGAGATAATGTTATATTATATCAACGGTATAATGAGATATTTTTCGCTGCTTTTTAAAATCGCTTTTCACGACTTCGACGAGTCCATTACACCGGTGATCGCTTATACTACACAGTTGTCGTTTCTTGACTATATTTGAAGGATATACACAGAAAAACGCAATAATACGCCGCGGTGTGTTTGATACGAAGTATACTCAGTGGTCGAAGTGGTGGAAGAGATACAGGGGGACTGCATCCCTCTACTTATTGTAATCTAAATTTGTCATCCCTTCACTCATTTTATCCAAAATAATACATCCTTCTTATTATTATACAAAGATTATTGATATATATTGGTAGTTTTTAGTAATTAGTTTTACAATAATACAATTTTTCTTTCTGATAATTAACAAGTATTTTTATCTTATTTAAATTGGATTACTTGACGTCTAGATCTAATAAATCTAAATGTAATTTCTTATAATTTTATGCTGATAAGAAAATGTAAACACCAATCACAAAACTGAATTCTAATACGTATAGTTATATAGTTAACCCATCAAATATATTTTGCGACCCAATGTTAGGAAACGTTGCTATAATATATGAGATGAATAAAAATGAAGGCATCTCTTAGTTGACTCTGAACCACTGAGTATATTTCAGTGAAGAATACTTCTAAAACGATTACAACAACCCGCAAACGCGCAACATTCCAAACTGCTGAACTTGGCTGAGAAGTATAATGTTTAGATAACATTACAACAATAAAAAGCTCCTACGTTGAAATTTCGGAAATATTTACTCGTAAACGAGTATTTATTTTCGTTTTTTTTATGGAGGTGAAGACTTTGTGGTAAATCCGTTACATTGCCCGTCCGGTAACCTCATTGGTATCATCGTATTGGAAACCGGTTAACCGGTTTTCGACGATGTTTATAGTGATTACATACTGCGCCATATACATGCACACGCGCGCGCGCTTATTTTATATATATAAATTTCGTGTTATATACATGTAGTAGTTCCGATCGAACCAATTATAACCATGATTATTTTATAAGCGCGTTATTTAATGGTCTCGAGTTCAAGTTCAATAAATAATCTTTATATCGAGTCGTATGTATTATAATAGGAGTTACATTTTTTTTTTCACTTTTTACGGACAGTGTTTTAAATAATTACAGGTATCCGATTAGTTATTGCGGGGTTTTCAGGATGTTTATTTTCATGTTATAGGTGACATATGCGTGCGTTTAAGCATCTAACAACCAAAGGTTTTTTTTTCGAACATTTTAGTGCATTTAGATTATTTAATAATCTCCACACATAGCAATCGTAAAATTTAATTTCATTCATAATACATATAAATTTGATTTAATTTTCTACCCGCGCATGTGTTAAAACGAATAGAAAACTTTATTTTATACTACACTTTCCCAGAGTTAGAACTCTCCAGTTTAATAATACCAACATATAAAAATAAAAAACGACAAATCATTTTTATCAAACCATTACACGTGTGCCGGTTGTTAAAAAGTAAGCGGGACCTCTTGCTAATCGTATACGACTACGATGAATATATTCAATGGACTATGTTCGGCTGATTTACAACTATAATTATTTTTAATAATATGATATTTTCAACAAGTTTTGACCAACGACCCGTATGTGATTCCTCTTATGACAAGACGACATTATTCAAATAAAAACAATAATATACTTAACGATAAAAAATATTTTATAGTACCTATACTTACAATGAAAACATTTAAGTATTTATAACAAAAAAGAAAAAAATTATTTGTGTGCTATACTTCATTCAGCATGTATCATATGCATATAAAAATTGTAGATTGTTCCGGTCTCGTACCCAACCATTAGGTAGTTATCTAAATGAACGATTTCAGAGAAGGAAATATAAGATACAATATTTGGTGTGTGTTTATGTGAGTGAATGTTTTTGTCTGTGACAATAATCGATTGCAATACCTACGCCGTAGCACGTGGTGGTGGCGGCGGAGGCTCGCGGTTTGACCGACCAACAAACGAAATTTTGCTAAGAATCGATATAGCTACGAAATAGTGAAAGCGAAAATTCTCGATGAAAATCCAGTTTTCAGTCAGTTCGATTTTCATTACTATTGACATTTTTATGAAACGCTAGTCGTTGCACGAAGAGGAACACCATAAAAACGTTACCGGTAAATTATGATATACAACTTCGACATTAAAAATAAAAACAAAATAAATTTAAACGCCATCACCATTCAATATTACTACTATCGTTTATGCAGATATACGTTTAAAAATATGATAAAATTATGAATTACGAGGGCGGTGCAATCCCAGTACGCGGTCCGATTGCCGCGCAAACAACGCGAATAATTTATTATATTTTTTATTTCACCTGAGAGTGCTGCGGTGGCGTTTAATATCGAAATCAGACCAAAACGGAATGAACGCGGGCACAACCGCCATAGGAGGTTAATCGGTTTGAACAACATAAAATATAACATCGTGTTTACCGGCAGACAGAAAATTCCGCTAAAAAAATTTTGAAGATTAATAATTAAAATTAAGAGACTAGTGGAATGAAAATTAAAATTCACTGTGGTGGTGACCTACATGATTTTATATTATACATTATTATTTCCATCCAAGGGTCTTATTGATATTATAATCGCGTGTCGTTGACGAAGGTAAACCTACCCCACCATTTCATTTATATATATATATATATACACGCATACAAACTAATAAAATGCACACGGCACACCTCGCGTACACTAACGTGCACATCTCAATACAATAGACAGTAAAAATAAGCGTAAAAAAAATTACCCAGAGGCCTACAGTAAAATTATTCTATAAATTGCTCGACGGAATCACCGCTGCAGTTAAAAGAAGATAAAATAATAAACACTGCAACAACAATAACAGTAATAATTGCACGTATGCCGACCAAAGTCACGGACGGGCGGTAAAATTGTTATTACGCAAGACTATCGCACTCCTCGATTTTTCATTGTACCTGTTTTATAATATTCTGTACATTTATATAGATAGGACGATTACTATGCGCACACGATAGATTTTCACCGTTTACAAGAAAGACGAAAAAAAAAAAAATCAAGGGAACCTATTTCTCTTGCCAGTAGTAAAATATTAACAAAAAAAAAACCATATTGGGAGTATATAAATAGGTGAATTAATATTAAGTATCACTTACGCCAGGGCCAGCGGGAGATTTAGTTGATACCAGGTCAGATTTTTTCACGGGGCCTTAACATTTTTTTTCGAGAATTTAAAAAAAATATTCTTGGACGTCCTAGTACCCGAATGACTTATTTGTTATTTTACATAACTTATGTAAAAACATTATTCTTTAGTGTTGGATATTATATTTTATCATCAAAATGTTAGAAATATACTACAAAGTATTTGCTTATTATTAATAAGTTATTAATTTATTATAATCATACTATTTATACCACAATATATGTAGGTATATACCGAACATAATATTGAAGTTCAAGATTAAAACACCATACACAAATTCATATGATAAGGAGCACTTGTTATTTAATTTAAAAAAAAAATTATAGGCTTAAAAATGATTAAATTCCATGAAAGACGCGGGACCTTAGACAGCTGCCTTCCGTCGTCGCTGCATTTACAAAGGTACCTAATTAATATTGTATTGATTTGAGGATAATCCTTGGGATGATCGTTTTAAAAAAAAATTGGTAGAACAGAGATATTTTTCTTAAATTTGAAGTGGATATATAAAAGTCATGTCACGAAAAATGCACGGAAGTCACCGGACGATATTTTCGATTACAATCGTTAAAAGTGATATATAAGTATTGCTGCAGAACGCGTATTGTACTTTAATTTATTGAGAATCAGTTGCACGCAAATTATACGTTATAATACAGTGGATCTTTGGACTTACCTCTACGTTATTAATGATGGTTTTGCAGTTTTCCGCCGAAACGGAATCCTTGATAGATACGACTACGTTGTCGTAGGCGCCTGACTGGAAGACGGCGGAGCCCACGACGGACGCAACGACGCATACAAGCGTCGTCGCAAAAAGCACAAATGTTCTCATTTTTGATGTAAGATTTAAATTTCTGTTCCCGGGCGCGCGGAACACTTAAGTTTCGAAACGCGTACTCGGAAATCCGCTAGGTGTCACTGTTCGTCAAAACGGAGTCGGAGGAATACGTTTACGACATCACGACATAAACATAGACTCAAAGGTTAGCGTGTCCGAAGACGGTTATGTTTAGACGAGTGAAAAAAAAAACTACCCGAGTTGTCAATGGTAACGGCCGCGGGGGGTTGAAAAAATTATATCGATAAGAAAAAAAAAAAATATACGAGTATATTAAAATGTCGCACGTCGCATTCGATAAGTCGCACACGGAAACGAATAAAAACCAAAAAAATTATCCACTCGAGCGGCGACGGATATTTACATCGGACGACAGTTGCACGACGACGACAACAACAGCAAAGAGACGACAGACGTGCACACAGGTCAAGTGTGACAACTAAACTGAACGGCCGATTGCGAGTGCGCGCTTCCGAGAGACAGGTACACGCGCGCGGGTTCCGACAACCGACGACAGGTAGCGCTGGCGGTGTTGTGTTCGCGTTGTGTTTCGTCGCCACACCGGTGCAGCGATGTAACGCGGTACACTGTTGTCGTTATTTCTGTTCGTTTTTCATTGTCTCTCCGGTCCGGCGTTGTTGTTGTTGTTGTTGTTATTATTGTCACGACGACCACACCGCCGCCGAAGTCGATTTGTACGACCCGTACCCACAGGCGCAACTAGAGCTGAATAAATAAAATTGAACGGTATTTCACTGTAATTACTGTAGATTATATAGATCAGGAAAAAACAGGAGTGCTACGAGATTGAACTCAGAAGTGCTAAAGCCCCTAATGCGCCTATCCCTGTGCCCGCGGTCGGTGGAATCACGTACGCAGCGGTTAATGGTTTGCCCGCCGACCTTTGGCCCGCAGCCCACCCCAAAAATCCGCGGTTCTACCATTCCGATTTCCCGCTACAACATGATGTTACCGAAACGTGTCGGTTTCGAAAATCCAAAATCAAACGTTCCAATGCAAAAACATCGTTCATCGAAACATTTTCGTTCGATAGCTGTACGAGACGCATATGTGATTCAGATTGTTTTTTCCTTTTTGTTTTTACATCCAGTTCGATTTTACGCGGCCTCCCGCGATACATTTGGTTCAATACGTTCGTTAACGCTTGCCGCGTGCGCTACAGAATTCAAACATTGACTTTCGACGCGTATGAATATTGCTCGTTAACCGTCCTACGCGTTATTGGGTTTAAACAATTCACTAATTTACCGAGTCCCGGCACAAAGATTATTTACATGTGCGCTTTATTTTCATGTGTGGCACGATTATTAAAAACGCTTCGTCTCGGATTATGGTCGACAAACCCGATTCTTGGGCAGTACATGCCTGTTTAAGTAGTAGTAGTAATTGTAGTAAGCTGCTGTGGTATGGTTGACCGAATTTCTTTATTAATCGATTCCAATCCGCAAGGCCATTATCAACGCGTGTTTCCCAGTAATCACGATTTTCATTATTATCTCGCGGTTTTTTCGGCCGCACGGTTTACCTCTTTGCTGCAACAATATTTCCAATAATTTATACGAATTATCCGTGTTAATGATTGTCATTTAAACAACGCGTCACTTACGTTTGGCGAAAAACGTTCTCGTTTTTTATTACGTGTGTGCTAACACGGTTTACATTTTGAAACAAAAAAATAAATTACAATAAAACGTGCACTTTTTTAGGAAATGTTTTACGAAATATTATAATGTATTTTAATGTCTCGATAATTCACATGTATAATATACATATTTTTCTTGACTATTTTTCGTGGAGTTTTTCGTCGCTGTTGTCGCGTGAATATTCAACTGCATTCCTAGAACGAACACATTTATAATATAGATAAAATAGTTTTGTACTTATCGTTTTGCAATACGTTTTTGTACAACGGTGTATGTGAAAGGTAACATGTTATTTTGTTACTGCTATTTCAAAAATACAAGATGACTCGAATTAAAATCTAATAAAATTACCCTAATAATTAGTCTATACGGGTTTTGTCGAAAAACAAAAAACAAAAATACTAAAAATTATGATAACCTTAGGAAATTCATGTTATTGGCGAAACTAAACACTGTCCATAATTACATACGCATTTATATATATTATACCAGTATTTACCAAATATATATATATATATGTGTATATAAATAATATCTAATATATCAACGCATTATGTATGTTGAAAAAATAACGAAACGATTGCCGAATTAAATCGATTATTTCACGCACTCCAATTATTATTGAAATGTGTAACATTTTATTGGGCGACTGAAGTGAACAATACACGCACTATTTATAACGTAAAACAATTTATAATGCAATATTGTTACGATAATGTATCTAAATACAACGCACAAGTTTGTTATACCGATTTGAGGGTCCAGAACAATTATCGCATCATTTTATCGTACACATATTTCGCTTGTAAAACCGGCACGTGGAAGAATTGGGTCAAGCCCGGCTACATTTTTTCTGTTATTTTTTCTCCTCGACGTATTTTATCGAACGTTCTTGTTGTCATCATTCCCCGACAAGTTGAAATCGTGTACGATTTTTGTACACGAGTGCGTAAAAACGATAAAGCGGGGACATATTTTTTCCATTAAGCGAACAATACGCGTCGCGTGGTTCTTGAACAGTCATTAGTGCCATTGACTTTTCATAACCCTTGGAAAGGGACGAAAACGACTTCCCGCCGAACAAACATGTTGTGTTGCTCATTAAAGTGCGTCTGTGTAAATATATTTATGAAATTTTTTTTTCGAACACCGCAAAGGGTCACGTTTTGATGGATTGTCTCGAGAGTTTTCAACAGAGCCACTCGTATGTACCCGGTATCACACATTGAACTATTTTATTTTATGTTTTGCGCGAGCAGCAAAACTTAGGTCACCGGTATTATTATTTATTTATTTTTTGTCGTAACTATTTACTATTTCGATACTACCGTACATTAATTAGGGTTTATCGGTTTTCTCTGATATCGTTACAACGTACGTCGTAGAGGGGCACGCGCGAATCTCAATCATTTTATAGGGTTTCCTGCGTTATATTATTACGCAGATAGGAAACACAGTGCCGGATGGGTGTGCGTTTCCGAGGCCGACGATACGACGAAACGCGATACGCGAATGTCCGGGAAATATTGCTCTCCTAGAAAAGTCGGTCGATCTCGACGTTTTACAAATTTTTATTGTATCATACGAGTGTACAAAAGCGGTTCGAAAACCTCTGCCAATCGTTTATCGAGTCGTAGCCGCAAATGTGTAATTACACCACCGGTGATCGAATATTATTGTCTCTGTCCGTCTGCTGCTGGTCTGTTCGTCATCCGTGTTGATGCTACGACGTTGCACCGACCATCGACTAACTACACCTAACCATGCGACTTCGTGATAATATAATATTGTTCTTGTTATTTTCGTCGTAACCGGTCGAGACGACGATGACGACTATTATTATTATTACTGTCGCCTCGAGTAGCGGTCATTAGCCGCTCGAAGATTCTATGCGTGCGCGCACGCGCTGAACGCTTGGCTTGTGATAAAAAAAATATAGCAATATATATATACACGTCCGGTGGTATTGGTTCGAAAAAAAGGGAAATAAGGAAGAAAAAAAATCACTGCTCGTCCGCACATAGGATTTCGCGGATGAAAATTAAAAAAAAAAAAAAACAACCATTTTACCGTCATCCGTTCGACGCTCGTACCGTCCGATAGAGACAACATACTTGTGCCTATAATGCGTAAACACCTAATGTACAACAGTGATGTTATAATTAAAACGCGTCGTCGTCGTTGTCACGGTACGTCCGGTCGCGACAGTCGCGCGAATCGAGTTCGGAGCGTGTAAAACGTTGCCGCCGTATCCAAACGCGAATTTACCGATCTTGAACAAAAGCATTGGTTGTGTTTACCTTTAGAAACCACCGGCATTGAGGTACGGACGGACGAGCAAAAAACAACCGAAAAAAATCGTCGTCTATATAGCACTCGCAGTCGGGTAAATGTACACATAAGCTGATTCGGTGACGATACGAAATCAATAAATGTTAAGGTATTGCTTCTCGGTTTTCTAAATTATAGAATGGGTCGAATACGATGTATTACGTATACGCGGTCTTAAACATACTACCACCGGTGGCGGATTTAACAGGTTCCCGAGGTTCCTCGTTGGCCCCCTAAATAAGGTTTTAAAAAATTCAACAGTGCATGCAGAAAGTAATCGAGTGCGTAACCGAGCGAATGAAGTCTTCATCCATGTGATGTGCAAGCTGAAAGGTTTTTAAAACAAACATAAAAACCATAAACAAAGTTTAAATCGAACAATTATTATTTCCGCATAATAACTCCCCAAAACGATCAATGCGTTTTGGATTACGCTCCCCACAAAAAAAAAAAAAATCTCTCGATCCGCCACTGGTTACCGCACAAACCTACATATCTAGATGTACGGTATATCTTGGTTTTGCACGATGACCGCAGTAATAACGCTTGTGGACTTGACCGATTTTCGCGGTCACCGAACAACCGTCATAGTCGCTCGGTATAATTAGCGAACGTTTCCGACACGATGTGTACATACGTATTAATATGGTATGCACATGCGGGTAAAATTATACGATCTAGTCGCTGCACCCGCATGCGTTGTTTCGTTACGGTACAAGTCAACAAGGCAAATCTGCGTCGAACTCGCGGCGAACGCGGCGAGAAATTTCGTGGGGACACCATGTCCGCATCGGTTCGTAGTGATTATTGTACGTAGGTTCAGTCGTATTCGATCTCCTCTTGTCGCGGGACAAATCGTTCCTCCGTTTCATAAACCACGGGTCTTCAACCTTTTTATTGTTTTTTTAAAAATCTTGCTGGCCGCGTTCGTTGTAAAAACATGTATTTTATACAAAAATTCAGTTTTATTATTACAATTCTTATAATTATATTATAAATTACAATTTTTTTTATTTTTTATGTGATTAGTCTGATTTTTAGTGCTAACTGAGCAGTATCCGAAAAATCTGTACTTTTGCCGAGAGCCAGCGAATAAAAAATAAATGTAGAAACTCGTTCTCTTAGGGTACTCTCGACATCAGTTCCTAGTTCTACTATACGTCTTGCTACAGTTACTCCTGATAAACTTAATTTGGAAAAAATTTGTTTTTGTGGTGGACATAAAATTCCAGAGGCCACCTCCATGCACTCTTTTATAAATTCATCATCAGTAAAAGGCTTCTAAACGGTTTAAGGTTATCCCGGAGACGATGCGTTTTCCGAACGCCTAACCTCGGCCATCGTCTACCCGTCGCGTACGGTGTGACGACGATTGTAACGGTTGCACACGTCCGAACGCCAAATGAACTGAAACACGCGCCTGAAAATATATACCTCGCGGCCGTGAAATCACGCGCCTTATT